TCAAAAGCCAGACAAGGCGACCTGTGTCTGCAACCTCAGAACTGGTGGAGATGGGGAATGGAGGCCGGGATTCCTGGCCAGCCAGTCTAGCTGAAGCAGCATGCTCCAGGCTCAGTGAGACTGCCTCAGAAAATTAGATGGAGAGGGACAGAGAAAGACTCCCAGTGTTAACTTCTGGAGGCCACACATGCATGTGTGGGTAACTACACACATGTGCAAACACTATATTCACACACACACACACACACACACACACACACACACACAGGTCCTCATTGCTAAACAAAACAAAGTATTTTCATTCCTAATGTTGGATATAATAATTAAATACTAATTTGAGCTGAGGACCTATTTGCCTGAAAGTAAAAAAAGCTACTAAGTAAGCGTTGGGTCCTCTGGAACTTTAACAACAGAAGGTTGTGAGCCACCATGGGGATTCTGGGAACTGAACCCAGTCCTCTGCTAAGGCAGCCAGTGCTCTGTACCACAGTGCCATCTCTCCAGTTCCCAATGGTTGAAATAATCATTTTTGTTTAAGAATAAATTTTCTCTAAAAATAAATGTTGTTTTTTTTTTGTTTGTTTTTTGTTTTTTTTGAGACAGGGTTTCTCTGTGTAGCCTTGCGCCTTTCCTGGAACTCGCTTTGTAGACCAGGCTGGCCTCGAACTCACAGAGAGCCACCTGCCTCTGCCTCCCGAGTGCTGGGATTAAAGGCGTGCGCCACCACCGCCCGGCATAAATGATTTTTCATTGCTGGGTACGGTGGCACGTTCCTGTAATCCAGCACTTGGGAGGCTGAGGCAGGCAGATCTCTGTGAGTTGCAGGCCAGCCTGATCTATAGAGAGTTCCAGGTCCAACCTGGACGACACAGTGAGGCTGAGTCTCAAAGAAAAAGTTGAAAAGATATTTTACCTAAGTAACACGTGAGAAGTGTTTCAGATCCAAAAGGATCTGGAAAAGAACACAGGCAAGTCTTTCTGTCCTGTGTACCCACTAGCTCATAGATGCCCCTGTGGTGGCAGCTTAGGCTATTGTTTTTCCTTCTGGTGTTTCGGTCAGTCTCACACAAGAGGAGACTACGTTCTATCCATCCCAAGCTTTTTCATCCTCAGCACACCAGCACAGCAGTTTGCAAACACACTTCTCATCCTTTGTCTCCAGCTGTTTCTTTTGCTGTTAACAAGGCTTGATGTAGGTTTGCTGTATGTTTGGCGTGTTCCAGGGGCCTCTAGGACATGGGGGCTTCTGGGTAAAAAATTATTCTTTGCAGGGACCCTGATCTCATACACAACTTTATTTTATTTTATTTATTTTTCTTTTTTTCAGAGCTGAGGACCGAACCCAGGGCCTTGCACTTGCGAGGCAAGCGCTCTACCATTGAGCTAAATCCCCAACCCCCACAACTTGATTTTAAACTGTTTTACAAACTCCCTGAGCGCCTGTGGAGTGGTTTATCCCTGAAACCTTAATGTAACAGGAGGAAACAGGCCTAAGTGAGGGAGCAGTACACCCACCAAACTAGACCACTCGGTGGGCAGAGCAGGGATGGTTTATTTCAGCTGTTAAGCCTCTCTCTCCAGGGTCAGAGGAAGAGGGTGGGGTCCTGTCAGTTATGAGGGGTGATGGTGAGGCAGGAGGTGGGCCAGTTATCTGGGACAGCCTGGGAACTAGCGTGAGGCTTTGATCTGTGGGAGTCTTGTTTGAATTAATAGAGAACTAGACCCCTTTCCGGAGCGAGGGGGGCTGTAGGTGGCGGATAAGAAAGTAATGGCCTTTCCTGGCAAACAGGAACCCCCTTCACAAGGTTTCTGAGGAATGCTGATTTGAAGTAGCAACCCGTCAGTCCAGCCTGAGCAGAGCCCAGACTGCAACCCGCAACACTGTCAGTGGCACTGCCGTTTTGGGGCTTGAGGGGTGCCCTCTTTGGACCTAAGAAGAGGCACTTTTGTCCAATGAGCACAAGTGAAGATTCAGGGTCCCTGAAGTGTTCAGGGACCATATTTTGTGTGTTTTCCTCATTGTCAAGTAATTCCAGCTAACTTCCTGTTTTCCACCGAGAGAGAAAGATTCCATCGTTGTTGCTTGTTATACTGACACAGCTCTTCAGAACCGGCTTGGTTGAAACCGAGTGGATTTCTTTGCCTTGAGCATTTCTTTAAGACCATTCATTGCAAACATCCAGCACCCATCACCCTCATAAATACCGGCTTCCTGTGAATCAGAAGAAACTGTACTGTGTTAACGGCCAGTTGGGCGCAGAGTATCTCAGCTTGTGCCTGGGCTAACTTATGTTGATTTAAACTTGACATATGGGCTTTTACAGCGTACATGTAGAATGATGGTCTTCTGAACATCTGGGCTATGTGTCCTGCATTCCTAACTTGAGATAGCTCGCCCAGTGGGCTGGATCTCCGCTTTTCACACACTCACTTGTGGCGGTTGAGACGGTGAGGGGCCCAGAACAGAATGCTAAAGTGTGGTCACGTGTGCTCCGTGAAACCCATTCCCAGCCTGGCTCAGCTCTCTCAAGACTGACCTGGGGGGTTGGAAACGCGGTTCAGGCGTCAAGTGTGTTTCCAGGTTTTCCAAGACAACCTGAGTTTAGTTCCCAGCCAGAGTGTCAGGTAGTTCACAACTAGCTAACTCCAGGGGATCCAGTGTCCTCTTTGGGTCTCTAAGGGTACCTGCACACATGTTGCATACGCATAAATAAAAGCTAAAAAAAAGACCGATCAGAGAAAATATCACCATACCAAGCAGAGGAAGGACGTCTGCAAGGGCCACCAGGGCAATGGTGGTTGAAAGCCTTTAGAGATACAATCCCCCACCCTCACCCAGAGGGCTGCCAGACATGTGGCCCAGAACCTGCAGGAGGGTATGGAGCCCTTTGAGGCTAGACCCTCAGATGCTCAGGACCAGACACAGTGCTACAGTCAGAAGGTTGAGGAGAGAGCTGAGGCTCAAGTCTAAGTGAGCTCTGAAGCTGTCCTGTGTCTGACGTGGGGGTCACCCCAAAATAACACATTCTAGGCGGGAAGACTGATCTACCCACAGAGCTGCCTACCTGGGGCTGGCCCAGAAGCCCCAAACAAGCCCATAAGTCAATGTCTCTGGAGTCTGCTGGGCCTTATGCAAGAGAGGAAGGAGCTAGAGGGGCCCGAGAGACAGCCAGGTTTGGGAACTCCCAAGCTATGGAGAGTGACTTACCATGCTGTGAAAGGGACCAGCCCCAGGCTGGGAGTCCTCCCCAGGTGGAAGCCTGACCCCAGCTGGCCACTGTGAGGAGTTCTCTGAGGCACGGAATGGCAAACACACCATTAAAGGGTCAGCTGTGCTGTTTCTAGCTGCTCCTTAGTCCTACATGGAGATGGGAAGTAGCCACGGGTGCATTCTAATAAAACTTTATTCAGAGTAGCAGGCAGCAAATAGAGTTACTGTTCAGTGGTAATGGGGAAATTGGACAATCAAATGCTAAGTGCATTTGTGATTGATGGCCAGAATCTCCTCTACAGACTGTTACCATCCAGTTCAACTACCATCAGTTCTGTCCACCTCCCTACAGCCTTGCCAAGAACATGGTTTATTCAGCTTTGCGTTCAGTGGCTAAGGATCACTTTAATTCATGTTTCGTTTTTGAGGCAGGGTGTCATGTATCCAAGGCAGCCTCAAACCTGACTTGTTGCTAAGGAAGACCTTGCAACCTTGACCCTCGTCCTTCTACCTCCCAAGTCCTGGGATCCCCACACCAGTTCCCCAGTCCTAGCCTTGTTTTGATTTTAAAGATGAGCATCTACATGTCCTCTTGTCTCTTAGCTGCCCCTCTGTGGGCTGCCTCACCCTTGGATTGTTGGTCTTCCTGACTTACAGAAGTTCTGCGTGGGTGAGGGAAGTCAGCTCTAAGGTGTACCCTGTAGCTGTTGGGTACAGCGGTCTGTTGAAAACCGCTGCAGCTGGTGGTGACAGCTGTCCAAACAGCTGGGGTGCCCAGCTGCCAGTCATTGAAGAAGTGGCACCATCCACTGCCATTGGGAGGTACAGATGAGGAACTCAATGGAGAGGCTAGAACCTGGAAAGTACATTAGGAATTAGCATAGATGCTGTAACAACGATGTGGGAGGCCTAGGGGAATAAAGGAGACTCCGGGGAGACACAGGTGAGCATCCCAACACTGAGAAACTGAGAAGAAAAGAGCCGGGGGAAGAGTGGATGAGGAGCCTCGGAAGTGTAGGGGAGGCAGCACGGGTAGATCCCGGAGGCGAGTTAGAGACAGCCAGGTGCTCATCCATGTGATCAGGTCACATTCAATCCCCCATGTGCTTTTTGTTGTTTTGTTTTTCGAGACAGGGTTTCTCTGTGTAGCCCTGGCTGTCCTGGAACTTGCTCTGTAACCCAGGCTAGCCTTGAACTCAGAGATCTGCCTGCCTCTGCCTCCAACTGGTTTGTTATTTTTTTAAGGTGACACTTTTTGGTGGGAATTAATCACTGGACTTAGTGGGAATTAATCACTGGATGAATGTACTTTCAGTTATCTGGGGGCGACACATCGCTGTCCCAAGCACAAGTGACCGCAGAGGACTCAGCTTCCTGCCACCGAATGAGGCTAGAAACGTAGACGGGGCAGAGTGGGCATGTGTCTTTCACAGGCCATGTTCCATGGCTTAGGGCCAGGGAGAGAGAGAGACAGACAGAGACTGTGAGCTCTGTTTAGGCAGCCAGGCCCTGTCTAGAAGGGACTGACGACCCAGCTCTGCGGGAGGTGATGGAGGGAAGGCAGGAACACTCAACCGGAGGAGCACTCAACCGGAGGAGCACAGCGGAGCAGTGGGCTGGAGGTGTGGCTCTCATCAAAGCCCAGGTACTGCACTTCATAAACACAGTGGTGGTGCGGGGGAGGGGGGGGAGTGCCGACCACCTGGACCCTCTGGGGCTTTTTCAGACTTGTTCCAGGTTCTGTAGCTGGCAGGGTAATTAAAAAAGAAACCACAGCAGCACAAGGAAATGCTTCTCACATTTTATTTTGACTGGGTTTACACAATTCCAAGGTGCCAGAGCCCACTGTCAGTGGGTAAACTATATCTTAGACACAGGGAGGAAGGGATGCCCCACCACTGAGAGACTTTAAAGGACTCATTTGGCTACATCACGGACAGCTTATGGTGTGAGGTTTTCTGATGTCTCCACAAGACATCCACCATGTGTTTCTACTTGATCAGCCTCTAAGAAACTTTGGACATTTCAAAAAAAGGTGGATGGTCAAGAATAAAAAAATATGATTTATTTAGCTGTGGGTAGAATGTGCCTGGTAAATTAGTGGAAAAAGAATTTTGGAAAGTAGGGTTTTTTCGTGGTATAAAAATACTGTTAGTTTACCTAAGACTGATAATAAATTTTATGGGTAAATAAAACGTATATGCTGACATGAAGACTTTCAAAGATCTGCAGTTGTTTTTAAAGAAATGTATATCCTTTTACAACCCACTCAGGCCGCGTCTGGTTTTGCCCATTCCATTCATCTTAGACGGTTTGCTGTCCTGACAAAGGCCGAGCATCAGCTGCCCGCTAGCCTCCCGTGGTCCAGTAGCTCTAGGAAGACGGTTGGTGCTTAGAGGCGTCACCAGGCGGTGGTGGCTGTGCACACCTTCAATCCCAGTGCTCGGGAGGATCTCTGTGAGTTTCAGGCCAGCCTGGTCTACAGAGTGAGTTCCAGGACAGCTAGGGCTACACAGAGAAATCCAGTCTCGAAACACAAAACAACAACAAAAGGAAAAGAAATGAGGTGTTGTTTTTTAATCTAAAGTCTTCATCATAAAGTGGAAAATATTTTATAAGGTATGATATTCATTATTTCCTTTACGGTCTCTCTGACATTAGGAACATGACTAGCTCAGAGCTGGCTGTGCTGACCACCAAGACTCATTCGGTGGAGGCATCCCTGCAATTCTGGAGACTAGGAACACTGGACTGGACTTTCTCCAGCCAGCTTCCTCTCGGGTAAGGAGGTGGATAGTTTATGTGCTTTGGGGGGTTGGACACAGCAAAGTCTACAGGTCTAGAACAGTCTGGCCGCTTTGCAACTGTGCAATCTTAAAAATGTCACTCCTCTGCATTCCTCTGTCCCTGCTCTAAGATCCAGACAGGAGAGGACTGCTGTTGGCATCTGCATGTGTCTTGGACCATGTGACAGACACAGCAGCCTAACACTGTTGGCAGCGCTGACTCTGGGACTGACTCTGCGAGTCAGTGGGTAGGCCTCAGATTCAAGACCAGCCTGGGAGACAGAGCACGACTGTCTCAAAACAAAAGAACGTACAGCCAAATTCACAAGTACCTTATAATAAAAGAAAGGTATATTAATTTTTTAAAACATAAAATAATCTTTGCAACTAAATATTCATCAATGTAAACTTTATGCTTATTTTGTCAGAATGTTCACTCTGTGGCATTACAACTCTCTAAAGGAGCGATCCATAATTAGTTCAAACCATGCCTTCAAAGTCTGATTATAAGGCAGAAGAATTGAATGAAGTTTAAAAGTAAGCAAAAATATAGAACTCTAAACCACAGCCTCCACAATAATAAAAACGCTTCCTCGATGGACTTACATACCACCCGCTGGTCACACAACACCAACTCACCGTGACAGTCCACGTCACGGGCACTCTCCTCCCTCGGCAGTTTCATTATTAGATATTTAACGGTCTTCAAAGACTGCACTGCAGTTCTCTTGAGCGCTAAGCGATCAAAAAGGGCTTCCCATCGACTGGCAGGTGCAAGTCAGGCGAGAGGAGACTGGCTGGAGCTTCAGGGAACTGTTTGAGAACTACAGCCACGTAAATGAGATGGTCCCTGTAGGTGGAGCCCGTGAGGAGATGCTGACTGAGGTAAGCCACAGCGTCTCCTTTGGAGGGATGACAGACAGGTAGGGGGCCCAACAGAGCAACAGGGTCGCCTGCGCTTCCCAAATCTTAGGTCTCTGTTTTATTAAATGGTACTTACTTAAGAAAAAGGAATTACTTTGTCTGTTTATCTGTCTATCTCTGTCTTACTCTCTGGTCTCTGTGTCTGTCTCTCTCTTCACACATGCACACATGCATGCACATATGCTCACACATGTTCGCATGTACACACACATGCACACATGAGCACACATACACTCACATATGCTCATACATGCTCACACTCTCTAACATACGCATGCATACATACATGTTCACACATGTATGTACACACACACACACACACACACACACACACACACACACACACACACCCCATCCTGTGCCCACAAATACAGCTCAACTGATTTTCTGCTCTGATGACCATTTTCTAAATCAGATCAACATTTTCCAAATGAACAAAACGGCCCATTGCTTTTAGAGTCAGGAGGAGGGAACCAGAGCAAGAGGCCTACAAATTAAAGTCCTGCGGGGGCGGCATGGCGAGCCCCTCTCTTAAAGCATCACCTGTTGAGAACTTGAAATAAAATGGACATTGGCACAGGGCAGTTTTACACACGAGTACAAGTCAGTTTGTCACGTGTTCAGCAGAAGGAATTAGTCAGTTTAGGAATAAGTGATTGGCAGCCTTGCTCCCGCGGAGGAGGGCATAATTAACACTTCGGGAAGCTCGGCTGGTCCTTTCCCGTCACAGCATCCGCTGCAGGGACACAGCTGTGGGACAAAGGCGGCTAAGGCTCCCTTGCCTCTAACCTCGCGCTATAACTTAATAATAAAGCATACTTCTGCTAGCTCTGTGGTTTCAAAATTATTCATTGTAAACATCCTATATTCTTTCCTAATTAACTTCAGAGTGTGAGCTTGTATCTATGTCTGTGTCAAATTATTTATTCTACAAAAAGCAGCACAAATACCGTTCATTGTGGTTTCAGCACAAATTCCTTAAAAAGTACGTTAAGGCCATTATGGAGTCAGGGTGAACCGCAGACTACCCCGGCATAAGTCACACAACAGGTGAAGAGTGTTGGGGAGGGGCAGCAGTGGCTGCCTTGTGTTCTCCTCCTGGGTGACCCCGCAACAGCTTCTAGGATCCATTAGTCCCCAACGTCTCCATCATGGTCTCCAATAAGCCAGAGAAAATGGAAACTTAAGGCCAGCAGAGCTGTCCCAAGCAGGTCACCCAGTGCCGTCAGGTAGGGGATGGAGAAGCTGTCCGGGTCCTTCCCTTTCCTCCAGAAGCGATGGACCATCCAGTCGGCGATCCACAGCAAGGTGAACACCTGCAAGAGAGAACCAGAGATGACCGATGTCGCCTGCATCTCCCCGCCCTTAACATGGCCACTGGCCTGAACTGCTTGTTTCTGGAAGAAACAGCATATGTCCAGGTCAAGAACCACACTTGAAAAGAGGCAGCTAATTAACAGGAAGGTAATCTTTTTATAACAACAATTTTAAAAAAAGCATGGATTCCTGAGATGCTTAAAGCATCCCAGCTTTCACCTGCAGCGTCTCATCTTCATCCAGCTGTGGTTTGTGGTGTTTTCTCCTCTGGAAAACACATATAATACCAATCTCTGCCTTGGGTTACCATTCTAGCTCTGACCCCTTTACCAGGAAGGAGGGTGGCTTGTCCAAATCTGAGAGACAGGTACCAAAGATCAGATCCCCGGGGCTGAATGCCGGATGCCCTTGGACTTCTGCCACAGACATCACGCTCTGAGCCCTGCCGCCCCCTGTGTGAGGCCTATGCTTCCTGACGGCTTCACTGGCCAAGGCTGCCTGGCAGTCACATAAAGCTAATTCAGACACTCTGAGTGTATAGGAAGCAGAGAATATTAGAATCTTGAACTTAGGTGCTGTAAGATTTGGAATTTGACTTGTAATTTCAGCACTTGAGAGACAAGGAAGGATTGCTATAAGTTCACGGGCCATGGAGTGAGTTACCATAATGAAACTCTGTCTCAAAACCAAAAGATTTGGTATCCTGTAGGCTGACACAGCTACAATCCAGAGTCCACCTGTTCCCACCCCAGAGGAATGAGACAAAGCCTTCTCCCCCACCCGCCAACACCAGACCAACCATAACAACCATACAGCCAGACCCAGGGACAATCTCCTTCATGTTCCAGAGCCTGCAAAGCCAGGGTCACCTGTGCTAGGTAGCCCAGCCCGCCCTGTATCTCCAGAACCATGACAGCCATGCTACAGTCCCAGGCATCTTCCACAGAAACCTGGGAGTCCTGGGAAGATCTCCTTTGTGGAGATCCCATGGCTACTGGTGTTGTTCCTTGGTTCCACCTGCACTTGCCCTACAGAACGTAGACCGTTCTCTCCACATGCCACTGTCGCCAAAGTGCCTTCGCAGCCAGACTCAGTGGAGCCTGAAGACACCTCCACTGCAGGGTCACACAGCTTTCTCAGGCTGCAATCTGACTGCAAAGGTGCTCACAGCCATACTGGTATCAGTTACAGGGAGAAAACGCACAAAGACCATGCTGTTGGGGTCTCCGTGACCAACCACAAGTGCCCAAGCTGACTGGCGTCCTATGTCCCATCTAAACACAAACATCCTTTCCTACGGAAGGTCCTTCACAAGATCAGAAAAGACACACACACACCAGCTGCACAGACACCAACAAGGTACAGGATGCAAAGGAAACATGGAACCTGCAAAGGATAATGTAATTCTCCAGAAATGATCTCAATTTGAAGAAAACCTCCGAGGTGCTGAGAAGAACTCAGAATAGCATTCCTAACAAAATCTAGTTCAAGATGCAGGAGGCCAGAGATCAACACTATAAAGAAGAAAATTCAGAAAATAAGAACCAGCTGGAACCCCTTAGAACCGAAAACTTCAATTAAATGAAAAATAAAAGAGAATACTTTCGTAACACAAGCAGGGCTTTTATAATTAACCTAGTTAGAAAGACAGACACAGACAGACAGAGCTCCTTTAAGACATATGGGAGATGCATTAGCAAATATGCATCATGGTAACTCTGGAAAGTAAAGGGGAAAAGTATTAAGTCCCATTTTGCAGGCTGGTGAGGTGGCTCGGTGGGGACAGTGTTTGTCACCGCCAGCCTGACCACCGAGCTCAATCCTTGGAGCCTGGGTAAAGGTGGAAGGAGAGAACCAAAGCTGTTCTCTGACTTCACACACAATGCAGCATGTGCACACCCTCCCATCAAACAGACACACTCACAGTAATGATAGTAATAATAACCCATTTCACAAAATAATAGTGAAAAATGCCCTAAATCTTCTAAGGGAAGCAGATACACAGATTCAAGATGCTCAAAAGTCTCTAGAGTCAACCAAAACAGATCATCACCAAGCACATTATAGTCAAAATATCAATGGTACAATGCAAAGAAAAAATCCTAAAGATAGGAAGAACAGTCACGTCACATTATAAGCAAAGGTCCATTAAGACTGAGAGCAGATTCCTGTATCGGAGTTCTTAGAAGAAATTTTACAGGCCAAATGAGAAATGAGAGAATAATACAGCCAAAATAGTAAAAGAAAAAAGATACCCTGCCAACCAAGAAAGAATGCTATACCCAGCACAATTATCAAGAATGCCCATATCCAGCACAACTATCCTTCCAAATCAGAAGAAATGAAGTCGGAGAATCCAAGGAACCTCAGCACTACTAAAATCAGCCATCCAAGAAATACTTGAGAATCTGTCACAAAAATGAACATTACAGAATTCCCTAGAAGAACAGATACATGGAAGTGAAATTAAACAGCATAACAGAAAGTTACTAAATCATAAAGAAAAAGTCACGAAAAGTGAGCAGTGTATAATTAGTGAAACAACAGAAAAGAGTTTATAATTATTAACAATAATCTTGAATTTAAATGGATTAAGTTCAATCAAAATAAACAGATTGGCTAAATGATTAAAAGAGTGTGGTGATATATTGTTTGTAATAAAGCTTGCCTGAGGATCAGAGGACAGAGCTAGCCATAGAGGTCAGGCAGTGGTGGCACACATCTTTAATCCCAGCACTAGGAAGGTTGAGACAGGAAGTGATATGGCTGGACAGAGAAAGGAATATAAGGCGGGAGGAGACAGGAACTCTGGCTCTTTCAGGCTGAGGAGTTGATGAGGTAAGAGGTGGTGGCTGTGGCTTGCTCTGCTCCTCTGAGCAGGGTGAAAACTCTGGGTTTTTATTAAGACCAATTAGGATTCATGCAACAAAGAAAAAGCAAGCCCCCATGATGTGCTGCTTATGAGAAGACTCACTCTAGTGAGGATACACAGCATCTAAAGGAGGAGATGGAAACCCAATCACACACACGGGAACAGTGTGGGACAGGAGCAGCTGGCCTCACCAGACACAGTGGGCCTTAAACAGCAGAATCAACGAGACAAAGAACGTCATCATGAAAGGAAGAAAGGATTGATTCAACACAAAGACATGGGAACTGCAAATACACACACCCAACATGTGACCACCTCAATACAGGAAGAAATATTATTAGACATAAGGGAGAGACTCTAATCCAGTAACAATGGGAACTCTAACACCCCACTTTCTTCAATGGACAGATAACCCAGATAGAAAACCAACTAAACAACACTGCGGTTGGACAAGAGAGCAAACGCTTAGCCACATGTATAGACTGTGTCACTCATGAGCAGCACACAGCATGTTCTGCTCTTCAGCACATTCATCTCCCAAGACTATCACATGACATACCCAAAATCAAGTTCCAGTGAACTTTAAAAGTTGAAACAATATTGTACACTGTTCAGACAACAATGGAATAGAACTACACATTAAGAAGTGAGTTCAGGCCGGGCAGTGGTGGTGCATGCCTTTAATCCCAGCACTTGGGAGGCACAGCCAGGCGGATCTCTGTGAGTTTGAGGCCAGCCTGGGCTACAGAGTGAGTTCCAGGAAAGGTGCAAAGCTACACAGAGAAACCCTGTCTCAAAAAAAAAAAAAAAAAAAAAAAACAACCAAAAAAGGGCTGGAGAGATGGCTGAGAGGTTAAGAGCACTGACTGCTCTTCCAGAGGTCCTGAGTTCAATTCCCAGCACCCACATGGTGGCTTACAACCATCTGTAATGAGATCTGGTGCCCTCTTCTGTGTACATAATAAATAAATAAATCTTAAAAAAAACCTAAGGGGTTGGGGACTTAGCTCAGTGGTAGAGCACTTGCCTAGAAAGGCCCTGGGTTCAGTCCTCAGCTCTGGAAAAAAAAAAAAAGAAGTGAGTTCAGAGCGTACAAACACAGACAGTGAGCAACATCTTCTGGATGACCACGGGATGGCTGAAGAAATGAAAAGTGAAATTTTTAAAAATCTAGGAAACAATGGGGAGACTTCTGTTGATTGAATGATCAATATCACATAAAAATTTAGAGAATTAAAAAATTTAGAGAAACGAGGTCACAAATTGATAAGGTTTATAAAGCCCTGGTCTAAGCAACAACAACTCATAAGCCCGATTCAACCTGTCACCTACTTGTGTAAATAAAGTTTTATCGGAACACAACTCCACTCATTCCTTTACTTATCTCCTGTTTGGTCTACTTTGGAATCCTTACATATTATTACTCCGAAGATTCACTTGGAAAAACTGTGGCAGAGCGGTCTAAACAGCTCTGCAGTTACCACAGAGAAGAGGCAACACACAGAGCTTCGGGAATTTAATACCTGGCAATTTACAGAAACAGGTGTGGACCTATCCAAAAGAGCATGACATAGAAAAAAAGGAAATAGTTGATCCTAGCGTGCAGGAGGCCGAGAAAAGAGAACCATGAGTGTGATGCCATCCTGGGCTACATAGAAAGACCCTGTATCAAACGTACCACCTCTCTCAAAAAAAGGAAAGCAAGCCAGCAGTGGTGGCACAGCCTTTAATCCTGGAGGCAGAGGCAGGAGGATCTCTGTGAGTTCGAGGCCAGCCTGGTCTATAGAGTGAGTTCCAGGACAGCCAGGGAGAGAGAGGGAGAGAGGGAGAGAGGGAGAGAGAATACAAACTTTTTCTATTTATTCCCTCCACACCTCAAAGAAATTGCAGGTAAAATGAATAAAAAGAAAAATTTCATAAGGAAATATAAGAGAGTATCATTCTGATCTTGATTTGGGGTGAATTCATAAATAACACATGTATAAATGAATAACTTACTAAGTTGCAGTGAATGCTTCTGTAGTTCAATAAATGAAAATCTTGCCCCAGGGTTATAAAATATCGCTGCCTCTCATTTAATTGACAAAGAATTAGTGTTCAGAATATTTTGAGAAACTATTGAGAATT